TGGATGGCAAGGACACATGTAATAAAGGGATCTACAAACATTACATTGGTGACCTACAGTGAGATGGGAACAGGCATGCGATTAGTGCCCGCGCTCCAGCCAGTTTCTGTGGGGTGACGCATTCTGAATTGAGGCAGAGCTCATCTGTGCCTCACCTCACCCCACAGTAAATGGCTTGAGCGCGGGCACAAAATAAGTGGCCGCGCTAAAATAGTGCCCGCGCTCCAGCAAGTTACTGTGGGCTTACGAGAGGCAGAGCTCGTCCCTGCCTCACTTCTCATCGCTCTCGTAGCGGAGCTCGGCAAATTTGCCGATTTTGACTATAAAATGCGATTGGAATCATACAGAAATCACATTTACAAAACAAATCAGTGGAGACATTTTATTATTATTATTATTATTTCGTTTTTCTTTAGTTTTGTTCCCGTTACATTGGAGTATGACAGGTGAGGCTCTGCCTCCCCTGCCTCCCCTGACTGCACGTCGCTGGTGTCCATAGTGCTCCACTGCGGTTGTTAACATAAAAAAACAAATCAGTCTCTCCTCAAATGGTAGTGTACCTTCGTTATTAATGACATTCAGGTTGAATGCATTCACTCGGCCCAGTGCAAGCTGATGGGGAAAGCTAGCAACAGACTTAGCAGAAGGATACGCATGTGACAACGTCCGATTATCTAAATGAGGTTTAGAATGGTATACAAAATACATTTATGGATTTCACAAAAAGTATAAAACATGATACATGATAAGTTTTATACTTATTACTTAATTTAAACTTTTACATTATATATTTGGGTTGAAAGAAATCATTTGAATTCCTAAAAATCATATATATTTGAAATAAGGACATAGTAAAAAAAGTGAAATAGTAAAAAAAAAACAATGCAACATGTATAGAATTAGGTAATGTACATTAAGACAAAATTAAATACGGTTTGTTGCGGTCATAACTATTTATATACATACGTAGATTGCAAGATGACGACAAACAGATGAATGTTTCTCTAAAAAATATAACATAAATCATATTATTGAATTGCTATACTTAAAACTCAACTCGAGCAATAAATATCGAAATAGCTCCCAACTATGAAATGATCTGACAATATCCCAACCATAGCAGCCAGACTGTCCTATAAATCTCCTAATTTATGAGATTTTAAAATCTTGTATAAATTGCCTTTGTTCTGTCATTTCCAGGCACCCCAGTACCCAGCAGCATGCTCCCCCAGGGGTTTGCCGCCATGAACCTTGGACCTGCTGCAGTCAAATCGCCTGTCAGTCCCATGATGCACCCCGGTGCTGGCATGGGAATGGGTATGGGGATGGGCATGGGGATGTCCCCCAACCAGGGCATGATGGGCATGAACATGGGGATGGCCAGCGCCATGGGGATGGGGATGAACCCTGCGATGGTCCAACAGCCCAAACACGATGCCTTTGCTGACTTTGGCAACTTTGGAAAGTGATGGAGCCAGAGAGCAAAGATTATCTGGTGGAGTGGTGTTGATCTCTCTCTCTCTTTCTCTCTCCGTCCATTGGTGAAGGATTGTCACGAGCTGCAAACAAAGAGTACTTGAATAATGTCAACTATCACAATACAAACACCCTGCAATCGCCTTTTTTTTTTTTTTTTAAGGAATGCTGTGTAGTGGATCTAAAATAACTTGTGTTTGAACCAATGAGCCGTCTGGTCCTGGGTGACAGTGGGCCTCGTTGGTTATGAAAAGGAAGAGTGTGCCGCCAAGAGAATGTTTTTTTGGGGGGGGGGGTGGTCTGCTTTATAACCTCAATCAAGTTAAATCACCATAATAGCAAAAAAAAAATCAGTAGCTGCGTAATTATTTTGAGATGCATTCTCAGTAATTTTACTGAATTAAGTTTGAATAACATGATCAGCTATTTTAACTTTTCTAATGTACATTTAAGAATGTCAAGTTACCTCTTTCCTTCTTTTCCCATTGCTCTTCCTTTTGACCTGTAAATAGAAATCTGGAGCCCTTGCAAATAAGTTATGAAGTTCCAATATATGAGAGGCAGTGAGGGTGTGAGAGTTGTATCATACAGACCAAATCTGATACGAACCAAGACCCGGAGCACAGCGACACCTTCTCTATGTACATACCACACACTCCAGACGTGCTACAGCTAATGAATGAGTGTTTGGAGTGCACATTGATTCATTTAAGGAGTTATCAGACCATCATTTGTGGCCTTTCTTATTGCTATATAAATATATATATTTTACTTATGAAGAATATAATCAGTTTGCATCCAAATGAGATAATCAGTAGGTAGGAAGAGCCTCGTACAGGGGTCGAGGGTTCATTACAGCACAGAGTGCCTGAGAGACCCTTTGCCTTTTCTCTTCAGTTAACCTCTCTAAAGGAAACGCTGCGACTGCACAGAGCGCCTCAAGCCAAGAGTACTGTCTGTACAGATATCAGATGCAATCCTATAATTATTTTTGTTTGTCCCATGCACACTTTCATGGTTTATTCAGGTCAGATAATACCTTCAGAGTGCAAAAAAACGGAACTTTGAGTGTTGAGACTGTTATGAAGATGTCATTGTAAATGTCCAACAGTGCATTTCTGTAAATGCTGCCCTCTCACCTTCCGTCATTTGTAACGTAACTCATTAAAAACATCATAACCGTCATCATTAAAACCAAGAAGATAGTGAGAGGACGCACTTTTTAGGACGCAGTTTGCACCCAGTTTGATATGCCGGTTCCATGACTGTGTTAACGCATAATTAACTGCTAGGTTAGACGTACAAAACAGTGCTCTTCAGCGGTTCAAGTGCCTGCCGGTGGTTGCCTCCTGACCCTTGTGATAAGTCAATCTTGGCTGCCTGATATTTTGGGCATGTCGACGATTGGATAAATAATTCACTGAGCAGAGGTGAAGGTGGATGTGCGGCCCCGAGAGCATCGAGGCTTTCCTCCTGTCCCAAGGGCTCAGAGGCAGAGCACACTAACACATAGTAGCCTTGCGTCGGAGTCTGAAACATCAAAAAATGACCAAAATCTGTTTGCTGTTTTTTCTAAAATACAAGTAGCGGTTGTTTTATTCATTTTTTTTTTATTTTCTACTTCAAATTGTTTTTTTTGATCTTCTCTAAAATGGGATTGTTACTGAAACACTAGCATATGCAAATGTAAGAAAAGGAAATCCTTTGAGAAAATGAATTTTTGCATTATTCCCATTTTGATTTACACATCGATTCTTTATCTACAACATTAAACAGTTGATTGAAATGTGTTAATGGCGTGTGTTATTTGGTGTGCTGTGTCATTAGCCTCATTCAAAAGAGCTTCAAGCAGCAGATGTGAAATCACTGCGCTTCACTTTGAAATTACATTTAGTTAATGCCAGTTTGTTAACCTCATTGACTGAGGTAATCACGGAAAGTCTTTGATAAATATGCACATTTACAAATTAATAGGGCAAAGAAGAATAAAAAAGCGTACAATACAAGCAGATCTGCTGAAATGTAAGTATGCTGGATACAAAATCCATAGGTTATAACAAAAGAACAAAAAATACTTCTAAGACTTAAAGGGGCCTTATGCTAATTTGCAGGTTCATATTTGTATGTTGTGCCTCTGCTGTGACATGTTTAAATTACATGATTTAATGTTCAAAAAGCTCTTTATTTTTCTCACACTGCCTTTGTGGCAGCACCTCTTTTCCCCCTCTGTCTGAAACCAGAGACCAGTCTGTTCTGATTGGTCAACCGTGTAGATATGTCCCGCCCCTTAGCCTATCACCTACAATATGTTGGAGCGTTAGCCAATAGATGCGCGAGTGTTAGTAATGTCACTATGTTATTGAAGTAAACAGGAGTCCAATGCAGTGTGTAGGAGAGAAACTTGGAATTTTAGCCTTTGCAAACCATTTACATGCACAAAAACTTATATATACACATATACATACTACAGGGAAGGAAAACCCCAAAAACCATAATAGGGGCCCTTTAATGTTCAGAGTAAGGAGGATGATCATTGTTGTGTGTAAAGGCAAAACATGTTTTAAAATCTCAACCCTTGTTTAATTTAAGCTTAGTAGCATTCTATGAAAGATTTTATAAAGGAAGTTGGTGTTATACTTAAAGAACGTATACTTTGTGTCCTTCAATATCCAATATATATCAACTGATATTTACAGTTTGCCCTATGGGATGGATGGCCTGATTACTCTGGTGATATAATACACTCAAGAGAAGATTGTGGAGTCTAATTGTGGCTCATCTCTTCACCACAGTGCCCTTCTCATATTTCATCAACACACTAGTGTGACAAACACGACTAAAACACAGCTTGCATTAAACAATTGACCCCGTTTTCACTCTCTGGAGAGGAAGACTGTTAAATGGGCTACACTAATAATATATATATATGAAAAGTAACAGCATATAGATGAAAACAGCTCAACTGCTCATACAATGTCCTATTTAGGGCATACAAATATATAGAAAGAGGGTCAATTAAACTCTGCAGTCAAATTAGAAAAATCTAGAATAAGGCAGACCTAGAAATACAGCAACATGCAATCATGCGGGGCAACTCATCATCCAAAAGTAACCTCTGCCATTTAAAAATAAGAAAAAACGCGACATCTTTACAACTTCCACGAGATGCAGTAAATTGTGCTTTTATGGGTAATGTGCCCATTAAAGAGTAAAAGCAATCGGAGACGTCAAGACAAATGACAGCTTTTGAGTGCCATCTGCAATCTCTAGCTTCACAAACTCAATTATTCATAATGCATTTATGAAGTCCGCTGAGACTGTGCTGTCATTCCTGTTCAAACTAACGGGAAAAGCAACATAAAGGGACAAGCTCTTTCCGATGACAATGGCCTCACAGATGGCACTAATGTGTTTATGCTGCCACCTGCTGGGTAATAACCATAACACCGCTGTTTATGCTGTGGCATAACGGTGTCAAATACATTTCCTTTAGTGACTGTCAGACAAAAGGAAAAAGACTAGAATTAGAACTGAGAAGCTTTTATTCCTAAAAATCAAAATCACTTCTCTGGTGGGCAGAGATCCAGCTCCATATCAATATGATATAACAAACGTCCTCTTTTGATTCCTCTGAATCTAATTACATCTCTGGCAGTTCATCTTTCACACCCATCATTACAGATGTGCAGCGTAAAATAAAACTTTAATTGATTGTGGTTGTAGTCTTTGTATCCAGGGGTTATATCAAACTGAATAATCAGAGCGGCTGGGGGTTGACCAGGAGGACGCTCTCCCCCCGGATGAAGAGCTGGTTGATGTGGCGTGTGTGCACCTTGCCATACTTCTGGGAGACTTTCTTCTGGCAGACCTCTGGCCCCTGGGCCTTCGGCGAGACTTTGTGTTTATCCGTTCTGATTCTAACAGCGTTTGACAGTTTGGACTCCGTCCTGCTGTCCTGTCTCCGGCTGCTAGGCTGAGCAGCAGACGGGGTTTTTGGAGCACTTTTTGGGTTTGTAGGCTGATGCTTGCTGGCTGTTTCCTGGGCTCCGTGCTTCTTTGCTGGCTCATCATCTCCTGGACTCTCCTGGAGCATCAGCTTCTCAAAGAGCTGCACACAGATGTTTGTCACACAAATAAATTAGGGGTTGGGAGGAGCACCTCCTGGACTTAAAATCAGTTTTATTTTAGGTGCTTTTTGGATAAGGATACATTTAAATGCAAAAATTACAACAAGCTAAGGCACTCTATTTTGAACAATTACAGTGCTTTCAATATAATGGCACATGACAAAATGCATCACATTTCTAATTGCTGCTAGTTCTCAAGCTTTCATTGTAAAGCAGTCAAATGAAAACTACTGGTACATTAAAGTCAGCTTGCAGTTACAATTATTTATCACTGACTTCTTTATTAAAACAAACAGACTCAGCTCTCAGTCTGAACTAAAGCTTCTTTTAAATGTTGATAAAACCAAGGTAATGCTCTTTTCAAAAGCTAAAAAGACACCAGAGCCTGCTTTGGATATTGTAACTACGCAAGGAATAAAACTTGAAGTGGTTACCTGTTACAAATACCTTGGTATCTGGCTTGATGATTGTCTCTCTTTTAAACGTCATGTCAATAACCTGCTTAAAAAACTGAGGGTTAGGCTAGGTTTCTTTTACAGGAACAAGTCCTGTTTCTCACTTGAGGCCAGGAAAAGGCTAGTCACTGTGACCTTTTTACCTGTGCTGGACTATGGTGCTCTGATTTATATGAATGCACCTGCCCATTACCTGATCAAGTTAGATGCTGCGTATCACAGTGCACTGAGATTTGTGACAAACTGTAAAGCATTAACCCATCACTGTACCCTGTATGCAAGGGCTGGTTTGCCTTCGCTAACTGTACGGACGCTCAGTCACTGGTACATTTTTATATACAAAGCCATGTTAGGGAAACTTCCATCCTACATCCTCCCTGATCTCACGGCGAATTGTAAGTCGCTACTGCCTGAGATCGCATGCTGTGGTTTTATTAAATGTGCCAACTGCTAGGACTGACTTAGGGAAGATAGCTTTTAGATGCGCAGCTCCACTGTCCTGGAATAGTCTGCAATTGAAATGGAAACTGAGCAATCTGGTGCCACTAAATGTTTTTAAAGCTCGGTTGGATGCTACTCAATCGGAAGCTGTTGGTACCTGTTCATGTGGATAGTTATGTAAATTGTAATCCCTGTAATTATGCTGTATGATGTCCTTTTTGTTGTTCTGTTTATGTTTTTATGTTTCATGTGGAACCTACTTGAGCAGAGGCCTGTACTACGAAGCTGGATTTTCGCTTAGCCGGCTAACTTCAGGGAAGTCTCGGGCTTTCCGGTCCTACGACGCTGGTTCTCTTTTTAGCAGGCTAGATTTCCATGGTAATTTATGCTGAGCGGCAAACCTGCTCCGGAGCAGGTTATGTGGCAGGCTAAGAGATCAACTCAGTGAAAGCACCACCTGCTGACCAATCAGAGCTCCGTGTGCGGAGTTTAAAGCGATCAAGTCATATTACAGGATAGAGGAAATACAGAAAAACTGCCGTTGCAGGAAAGACGACCGGCCAAAATCAACTGACTGTGTGAACGTGAAAATTAATAGAATATCCCCTCCCATCTTCAGAGCAATCTGACTATTATAACATTAGCGTTAAGAAAGCTTACTTAAATATCTGCCACGACATAAGTAACCGGATCAGAGTAACATTAAGTACAGTCCGCGGCACTGTGAGTGCAGACGTCGATGTGTCCCATTATCATTTATATCATATCACATCATAATGTATCATATATTTCCTTATTTGAGTCAGCTTCTTGAGCCGTATCTGGCCGTGCAACACTCACAGTGTCACATACTATATGCAGAAGTATTATTTTAAGCAACACATTAAGTTGACGAAACACTCGAGTCAAATTCTCCTAATTAAAGTCAGATCCACTCGTGTCTTAGACGGGGCAGTGATTTCATAAACCTGTTAATGTACGCATTCAAACACTTTTTCTTTTACCAGCTGTATTCACCTTGCAGGTGCAGCTATGTGGCTTTTATCCTGGATAAAGTGTTTAAGACATGGATGTTTAAAGTTTAACTTCTTCATATTTGACTAATATTAAAGTTCACTTTTCATTCAGGAAGTATGACGCTGCGCTGTCAGTACGCTTGTCCGTGTTTGAGATTGGTCGAATGCTCCAAATACCACCCCTTTCATGTGAACGCGCACCTAACTAGATAGGACACGGCTAGCTTGAGCGATCCACTTGATAACCAGCGTCGTAGTACAGTTTAGCCAGAGCGCGTATGTTTTGGATTGGGCCAACCGGCTAACTCAAACATATCCAGGTTAGGTTGAACCAGCTTCGTAGTACAGGCCTCTGGTCTCCCTTGAAAAAGAGATCAATGATCTCAATGGGATACACCTGGATAAATAAAGGTTTGAAATGAAATGAAACATAACTGATTGTAGCTTTTACTATTACAGAGTACAAATATATTTCTGTCAGATATACATTGAAGAATAATGCCTACCCGGGAAATGGTGAGGGCCTTCTCATGGTAAAATGCCTCTCCAAGCAGAGGCTCTCGGTATGTCTCATCTACATCCACCATGGCCTGACAAAGACGATAAAAACAGATAGTAAACATTCCGTATAAAAAGACACAAACTTCATGGTTTCAAGTAAGATGCAGATTATTTGTTCAGCATATGGCAGCTGTTAAATAATGAATGAGCGCTCACCATGTTCCAGAACTTGTCGAAGGCCACAACAAAGCCCGAGCAGACTCCCCTCAGCCCCTTGAAGGTCCTGATGTGAACTCTGACCCTGATCTTCTCCTCCACGCATCGGTACAGCTCCCCCAATGGACTGCCTTTACACACTGAACACACATGACAAAGGAGAAACACAAACATACAGTTAGAAGGTATCACAACAAGCTTCTGCAAAAAAGGCCAACAATGCTGGGTTCTACTGGATTTTTCACTTTTCAATTGGTTGATGTACAAATATTGTATGGTTTCTGAGATATAAAGTTCAATATATTTATTCAGATTATTAGCATTATATAACAAATCTTTGAATTTTGAATGTTTGCTGGAAAGAATAGCAGTTTATCTTGGCTCTGAAAAGTGGTAATGGTGAGTTGACATTGGTTTGTCATATTTAGCCATTTACCCGTGTACAAAAAAAAAGCGTAAATATATAAATTATATAATATTAAACGTTTGCTGCAGCCCTTATAAAAACAAAAATGGTATTGTGTTCCTATGTATTTTATTATTCTAAGTTCATGGTAGTAATTTACAAGTCAGTTAAACACTACAGGACTGTGAGAAAAGTACAAAAAGTTTGAAATTAATGTTTATCCATATGAAGAGCAGGACAATCTCCTTCTATAAATGAAAATACTATGGAGTAACAACTTATTTAAAGCTTATGTTTGAAAGGTTTTTAGCGGCCTGTGCAAGTATGTGGAGTTGTTGCAGCTTCCAAGTGATGGCAAGCCTATCCTAAAAGTCAACATGATAGCATCCCACTTGTTGACATTGAATGAGGAACTCCCAACAAGTCTCAATGTATGCAGTGATGTAATAGAAGGTCTTATTGAACCTACAGGGCATCCTTGTGAGGACATTTTTCACCGGCTTGTGCCTCCTTCTCCGCGGTGCGCTGCTCTCCCCCTCCGGAGTCACCGGGTTGTTCACCATGAGCTTCTTCAGCCTCTCGATGCGCTCCGGGTCCGCCACCCCTTTCATGGCCTTCTGCCGCTTCTTCTCCACATTCTCCGGCTTGGCTCTGCCCCGGCCGCCCTTTAGAAAGCTCTCGTAAGCCGCCACATTGTTAAAGCTTCTGATATTTGGAAAAGGAAGCGACACAGTGGGCGAGTACAAGGCCAAGAGAGGGTCGAAGTTATCCGAGCAGACATCTGTTTTATCTGCGCCACTGCCCGCAGCTTTACCGCAACGCTCCGGAGCTGATGGTGTACTCGAACAGGTTGCAGTGACCGGTTCTTTGCTGTGTGACTTTACAATTTTTCTTTCCCTCTCCTCCATGTTTGAAACAGGCGCAGATGAGCACACAGTGCAGCGAAGAACCGAAGAACCCTGGGAAAGTGACTGACGTAGGTTGAGGATGAGCTCTCACTCTGCACCTATTTCAAGAGTGGTGGCGAATTTCAATCACGGAAGCCTTATTTTTGTGTGGTGTTACAATTTTTTCCTGTGATATTCTGATAGTGATGACCTATTTCACATCATAAAACAATAATTAAATAAATAATTTAACCCTCAGAAAACAGTATGTCTGGATTACGAGTTCCGCAATACGTATTTCCGTAACCCCTTATACACGATCTTTGGTTGCCCTTCCCCTCACCTAACCACACGATGGCGCCAAAATACAGGTTATGTTTTGGTAGCTTGTAAATCTGCTTTGATTATTTATGCAGTATCAACATAACAAACTGGTAATTGACAATGTTCGTTGATAGTGTGAACAAGAAGTGTCTGAGAGCAATATGATATTTGTGATTTAATGAATTATTTGTTTATGTAAGTCTGCTCCGGAACCTTAGTGTGCACTGTCTCCGGCTCCACTACGACATCATTCGTTGACGGACTGTACACAAACCAGCGTGTGTTAGCGAACTTACTCTCAGGATAAATGTAGATATCAGTTTATTGCATTACTGTTTATCCTAATAAATCAAATATTGGTGTTTGTGTAACTAACGGAATATATAGATATTAACGCATGAAGACAACGGGTTTAAGTAACTAACCTACTGGTCACTGTACGTTGGCTAACAACACATCACCTCCAAGTGTAAGTAATAAATAATGTTATAGAAAGACAAACGAACATGTCTCTTTAATAATTATTCTATAATTAGGTGGATAGCCTTTTATATTGAAATAATAAAAATAATTTGTGTAAAGGTTAAACCACTACAAACTATGTTCATAGGAGAGACATGTCTACATTTATGAGGTGAATGCATTTGAATTGCTAATTTTGGAATATATTATATTTCAATAACATCATAACCATTTGACAACAATAATGCATTTTTGACTTTTACTATTCATTGGTTGTAACTCAACACAAGACTATTATTCAATTACAAATTGACAAATGTGACTTTTTTTTTTATAAAGAGGGCATCACTGCAAACACAACAGCAGAAATGATGCAGATATGTGGATAATGATACACCCACCCATAGAAGTGACAATTTGTGGAGTGTAAAATTCACTCCATTCATGCTGTAATTGTGTCAGCTTCATATTTGCTTTTGCTTTTCAGGAACCCCTCAATGCTGTTTGGAAAGGTCTGTATATTTGGTGGACGTGCCAGGTATTGTGTTGTCAAACCCTTGGCCTGTCTTTTTACGACTTCCAGCAACATGGCCAAGAGCAAGTTTGAGTACGTCCGCAACTTTGAAACAGATGACACTTGTCTACGGAATTGCTACATTGTTGTGAGATTGGATGGTCGCAACTTTCACAAGTGAGTTTCCTCTTCAAGTCAAACGTTCTGTCATCTCTGTGAAGACATAAATAGCATGATGGATCTTTCTCTTGTTTTGAGTTTCTTCTTTTTTGTTTCAGGTTTACAGATCAGCACAAATTTGCAAAGCCCAACGACAACAGGGCTTTGGGCCTGATGAGCCGGAGTGCACGCTCCGTCATGGAAGAGTTAGAGGATATTGTCATCGCTTATGGTCAAAGTGATGAGTTCAGCTTTGTTTTCAAGAGGACTTCAACCTGGTTTAAGAGGAGAGCCAGGTACAGTTTTGCAGCACTGTGCATGTATCTGATTTCCCCACATGCTTTCCTCTCTCTGACTTCATTCCTCCATCTTTCTCTTCCTGCAGTAAGCTTATGACACATGTGGCCTCCCAGTTCTCATCCTCATATGTGTTTTACTGGAAGGAGTTTTTTGGGGAGGACCAGCCCCTCTTGTACCCCCCCAGCTTTGATGGACGTGTGGTCCTGTATCCTAGCAACCACAACCTCAAAGACTACCTCAGCTGGAGGCAAGCAGATTGTAAGTGCACACTGTGCCATAACTGTTTTACAAAGTCACACACACACAGTATGACTGATTTTGTTGTATTAAACCGATGAGGATACCAGACTGTGTGTGTTCTGTCTTTCAGGTCATGTGAATAATTTGTACAACACAGTGTTTTGGACTTTGGTACAAAAGGGAGGACTCACCACAGTCCAGGCAGAGGAACGCTTAAAGGTGAGAGCGTCACAAAATCATAAATCAACAAAAATATGTTTGAGTGTTTAGGAATATTTGCTGTGTCTTTTTACAAATATGCTGTTTTGTATAATATATCAAAGGTGTTTTCCTTTTACATTTCTATTAATAACTTTATATGAACAGCAAGACCTTCAAAATATGAAAAACAATAATAAGGAGAAAACACCTGCACATTTAGAGTTAACATTAACTAAGAAATTACACTGTCTCAATTTTGGTTCTACTTTTCTGAATGTGCACAACATTTACTGTGTGTACTGTGCTTTTAATTGTAAGCCATTTCCAAGAAGGCCTTATGAGGACATTTTTGTATTGTTGGTGAAATAATTTGCTGATTAGTCAATAAGCAGGAAATTATTAAATTAAAGTTAAAGAATACGGCCTTTAACTAATGAACAGGCCAAACATTTTCTGGTTCAGCTATTATGAATTATTAAGTTTGACAATTGTGTTATCTCTTTCACATCATTCTAAATTGAATGACATTCGATGATACAAACAAAAACAAATTGATCAAGTTGAAGACATTATTTTAGAGTCTGATATTAAATAACTGAATGTTTCTCACCTTGTCTGTCCAAATGGAAACAATTAATGAAAAATATAAATATCATAGGATAAATTGATTATGAAAAGTATAGTTATTGTGTGAATATTTCGACAAAAATGTCTCCGTATGAACTATTTTGTGTTTGAAAGTTCTTCTGTAAACTTTATTTTATATTACTTTATTAATGGGTTTTTACAAAGAAGACATGATCCTTGCTTGTGTAGCTTTTGTGTGCTTTTCATTGGCCGATTTTTCACATGTAGTCACATGGTGACCACCTTATTTACTCCTGGTTTATTCTGGTTGGAGATGAACACATGCCTCTGACTGAAACAGCTGTTCTCTGGAAGTCACTTTATTCTCCGGTGGTCTGTAACTCACATAAAGTGATGACAGCTGACGGGTTGTGGAAAGTGTTTATTCTGGATGAATGAGTCATTCACAACCCATCAAACCGCCATGTTTCTGGTTACTTTATCACTTCCATATTCAAAAAAACAAAGCAAAACTAGAACCAGTTGTGGGAGGTGTGGATGATAAGATTCCAGTGAGGCCTGACGAATCAGCTGATTTTTGTACTGCATAAATAACTTTTTGTAATATTAATTTAACTTTGTTGTTTCTCCCCCCAGGGAACACTAGCTGCAGACAAAAATGAGATCCTTTTCTCTGAGTTTAATATCAACTACAACACAGAACCTGCCGTCCTCAAAAAAGGCACCACTCTCATCTGGGAAAAGGTGAGCTGCTGAAAATGGTTTCATGTTGCAAAAATGACAGAGTAATTGACTGGGGTAACTCCTACTCATTTTGATATCTTTGGTGTGTGTGACAAAGGGCTTTTAATATCTCACCTCAGCCACTTCCACCTCACACCTCATCTATTTCTGCTTTAGTCAGTGATAGCCGAACATTTCCCAACATGACTACTGTGTGTGAGGTATCTGCTGATAACTGCCTCAGACAAAACACAGCAGAAAAGATTGAAACAGGAATAGTTTTGTGCACTTGTCTGCAGTTTGCAGGTTTGGCTGACAGCAACACTTAATTTCTATAGTACTACATTTACTATTTATGTTTGGGAAGCAGAATTGCCTTCTGTGCATGTTTACTTACTAATTGTTTTTTCCCGGACATACAAATATTTTAGTTGCCTGTTGTTTGGTCACAGTTGCAACATAGTCATGTGGTACAATTGCTTTCAGGTGCCACTTACAAAACTTCCCTGTTAGGGTTTAATTCTCAGCTTCACTTTTCAACAAGTCCCTGCTTGCACTAAATTGCCAAATGCAAATAATGTAGTTTAGCTCTTAAAATAACATAATTTTCCCTATGTAGGAAAACATACACGTCTCAAACAACTTCCACGTTTTATTATACCACTTCATACCACAGTGAAATAAAAGGAAACTAAATGAATTAAATCCAGGCAGGTTTAGAATAAATATAGCCGGTTACAAAAGGTGGCTGATATTATTGTGAATTATACAGTATTCCACCGTGCTGTAACAAACATTACCTGAACGTGGCATTGCATTGTGGGGCAGTAATTACCAGAAAAACTAATAAAAGCATTAACAAACCAATGTCAGAAATGTCTCAACAGTACACATTTAAAAATAGTTATTGATATTTTTCAATGGATAGTTTTTCAATATACAGCCATTTAATTGATTTATTTTTGTCCAAGAGGTTTGATACCGCAGATATGAAACAAAGGCCAGGAGAAATAAATCTTAGCTAAGCATAAAGATTTAAAGCAAGGGGTAAAACTCTCTAAAATGTCAACATTTATACAAAAAAACTACCAATCTCTCTCTAAAGTATACTTATAAGTCTTGGTATTTTATCCAATACAAAAACATGTGGTTCAGTAGGGGTTTGAATGCTGGAGTACTTCCTGGCAGAGTGCACTGACTTCCTGATGTCTGGAATCTTTAGACAGAAATGATATTGGTGCTTCCCAAAATGTTAAACTGTTCCTTTAAGTTCCCTTTAAATTGCACTGCTCATATACTCTTCATTCTTTGTGTCCAGCGAGATGAAACGGTCACCAAACGCATGAAGCTGCCGAGCGCAGAGGAGAAGGAGGTGGAGGTGACCCGCAGCAGGAGGCGGGTGCATGCCCATCACTGCGACGTTATAGGGGAGCAGTTCTGGGAGGAGCACCCCGACATCCTGGAGGACGACAACTGCTAACAAACAGCTCCTGAGGGAGAAGAATCCTGAACTGATGTTGGCTAGAACGGTTGAAGTGGACCCATACCAGCGATGGACAGATAGCAGCTTGTTGTTGACTAGATAAACATCAAACAACATGTCACCCATGAGGCTCCGTGCCCCTGAATCCCTTGAAAGAGCAATTTCTGAGACTCAGGCCTTTGATGACAGATTTTGTGTAATTACTCTCTCACAGCCAGAACATATTCTTGCTTTCACATATTAAACTTCTTTCATAATGTTCCCTAAAGTAGGACGTTCTCTGCTTAAATTGATGATGATGCCTGTCATGTTCAAAGAGAGGCAGATCATTCCTAAATCTTTTAACAGCGTGTATTGAGGACAAACAGCAGCTGCCCCAGGCATCATCACACTCTTGTGCATGTAGCTCTCCTAAAGTTGTTTTTACAAAAAATATATATATAATTTCGGGTACGACAATCATTTCAACTTTCAGCATTTTTGCCATAACACCTCTTGACCCACTGTAAGTGTGTTCTTTTATCTGCATGTGGGCGTTTTTCAATCCCAACTCTCCTTTTTCTGTCCATAAAGCAGAGTTCTTATGCTTGAATTTGAATGATTCAGGACGGCTATTTGCAAAGTGTTCAATATCACTTACAGTTTGTAGTAAGGTGGAGCATACTTGATAGGAATAAGCAGAGTAAAGCAGAAACTAATACCTTGGCAGGAACAAGTGGCCTTGTCTTGGGCCAGGACGCCATTTAGAGATGTGAATGGATTTGGCGGCCTGCACTGTCATCAGAGCTAAGAATACCTCACACACCCTGCATACACTCTATCCCCTGACATGTGCTCCGAGGCTAATTTATCATCGCACTTATAAATGACCGGCTCAGTATCAATGGCTTTTGAAGGATTGAAGTGGACAAGCCAACTGTATTTTAATACTGTAGTAGGCTCAGTTACTGTTGAGTATTAGAGCTGTATTTTTGGTCTCAACGCATGTAGCTCTCTCTACTGTACTTTATGTAACTAGGATTCAAATCTATTCACACTTTAATAAATCATTTCAAACTAGCGTGATAACATGCTACATTTTCGATGAAGTAACATGTACAAAAGCACATTATGAAAGCAGAAGTTCATCTTTTCTTAATGGCTTTTTCTGTATGCTTAGATCGGTTCACTTGTAACAGTTGCCAACATGACAATGACTGAACAAATGCCTCTATTGTATTGAAGGTATCTTAGTAACCAGAACGTGTTGAGGCAAGCGATGCAGTTATTTAAAGAAAGCATGTGTTTACATGCAGGGTCTAAACATAATCCCATTGGGATACTGGTTGTAAAAAACAGGAAATACTCTAAACACCTTCTTTAATATTGTACTTTAATAGCTCCTGTAAATCATCTCCTGTTCTCAGTTATTTTAGGTAAAATAGCCACTGAGAAGCAAGTCGTCTGTACATCATATTGCTCGACCCTGGCTCCTACAAAATGACGATACAATACTACTGTACTGCATTCTTAATGAAGGTTCAAGGATTCCAAGATTACGGTTGCATTTATAAACATGTGGTTAGTGTTGTAGATTGAAAGAATACTAAATGCAAAAAAACGACTTGGTAATGTGAAGGCAACAAAACATTCCTTGGTTAATTTCATTAAAAACCTATAAGTCTAAATGATTAATTTTCTTGTTTTTGGCTCTGGCGACATTGTGTGAATGCAGCAGTATATAGTCTAGTTAAAGAAGTCAATTGTACTCCGCTTCATAGAAATGAGGAATGATACTAAGGTGGTGAAAACAGTGAACGTCTTCAGCGGCTCTAAATCGAGAGAAGATAACCGTGAAGATGTCGCAGTGATGTCATCATGTTGATCTCCGCTTGGACTTGGAAACTACAATTTTTTACAAAAGGTTTGCATCACAAAAAGGATAGAATGTAGGCATTAATCAGGCAGGGAAGGTCCAAAGAAAAAAAAAGTTAAATGTTGCATGATGGGAAATGTAGGATCCAGCATTTTGTGAGCTTAAAGTATAGTAAGATAACTAAAAGTGAGGATATCTTCATCACTACTGCTTCAATTTTGAAAAAGGGAACTTTTCAAATCTGTTTATTGTGTGTACACCAACTTTAAAAAAGTACAATAATAGAATTGCTTGAGTACCCCTTTAAGAGATAAGGCAGAACAATTCAGAGTCCTTAAACAACCCCTTAAACTATGTAAATCTGCTTTGTTGTATACTGACTATTAACTACGTTTTTGATGCTTTTGAACACTATTATAGATTTAGAATAGAGATTATAGACACATTATTTATTTTACAATGTAAGATAGAGCTCCATGGAAGTGCTCCACACCGCTTGTTGCATTGTAGTGTTCGGTAATCGTGATTTCAATGTCTTGTTCTCACTATACATCTTTTCATCACATCCTGTCTTATCTTCCCTCATGCCTGTGTCCCTCTCCTTGTGTGTGCGCGCATGTGTGTGATCATGAAGGGGAGGGGTTGAGAGTGAGAGATGTGCACCCCGCGGTCTGCAAGCATCTCATTCAGACGCACAGTTTATCGCGATGTCACACCGGCGGGGTTTTCTCCATCTGATGTGAACCCCCCAGGCTCGGCTCCGCGCAAATTGATGTCTCAGTCCGGCAGATTGTTCATTTGGAGCCGCGCGTTGTTAGGATGCGTCCGGGAGGAGCGCGCTCTCCTCCTGCCGGTGCGGTGCTGTCCTCCCTGTATCTGTGGCTCATAGCTTCACTGCCCTGTGTTCAGGCTGCTGAGTCTGAAGGCGCTGTTTACAATGGTGAGTTCTCCTGGAGCAATGACTGAAATCTGATTTGTACACGTCTATCTGTATTGCATTTCATTCGAAAACGTGTGGTTTTAAATGCAACACCCCACATGTGGGTTGGGAATGCAACATGTACAAAATAGTTTGTTTTATTTTGTTTTATTGTCAATCCTCCAATGCATATGTTATATTTTCTAAATTGGTGATAAAGCTACTGTAGAGCATTTACAACATGGTTATATGTCATTTTGTTTCTGTTTTATCATCAGGAGATGAGCAGGGTTCAGTGAGGAGCATCCTTGACCAGGTACAGAGTTATGAGATTACTTATCCCACATGGCTGCATCCTCACAGACACAGGAGGTCTGCCCACGAAGAGGTGAGTCTTTCTCTCTTCATCACTAATATCACTAACACAGGTGAGGAGCTTCCACCCCTTACTGTAGTCTAAACCATTAGACTAACAAAGAGAGGATCATATTCTTAATGACTCTTCTAATCCTGTGACTAATCCTCTTTTTATTGTCATCCTTTCTTTTAAAAGAGTCAGTAGTATCAAAGTGAGATGCAGACACACTTATGCACATCAGTTCTTGTCTTTTACTCTTAATCCTTGATGTTCCGTTATTATTCCTGTCTCTATGAGTATGTATGAATGAATGGTTTTTGATGTGTGACCTCACCAAACCAAATTTCTATCAACTTTTTTTCAGATCTACAACCTTATAAATATAAAATAAACATAATAATGTTGGAATTTGTATGTGAGTCAGTTTTTGTTGACAACTTGCTGCAATCTTTGTTTCCGGCCCAGCATCCTGCAGAGGCCCAGGTTCTGATCTCCGCTGAGGGCCGTGAGCTCAAGCTACACCTGGAGAAAAACAAGTGAGTGGCCCCAGTGTGTTCATGCAGAAGGTTCATATCTCTCATTGTAGCACTCCCAGGAAGTACATAAACAAGTCCAAAATAAAAATTCAAGTAGTCGCCTTTATCAAACTCTTCCCATGACACTAAATCAAGTCTTTAAGAATATTCAACATTGAGCTATGTATTCTTAGACGTCCAGTTTATTTGACCAGATGTTAGCTGTCACATAGACACATTTATAAGGTCAGTGCCCCCCTCGGGTGCAGAGAGAGGGGGATGAAGGGAGGACAGAGGTTTTAGACGACAGAGGGTTGACACCCGATATGTGTGCCCTGGGCAAACAGGAAGTAAGACTGTGCGTCTGCACCTAACATCCTGTAATCTGATGGAGCGGTTCCTGTCCGGCAACAATGGGATGGTGATAGGAAGAATATTGCTGGGTTAATGGACGGCGTGGCCACTGGGGGGACGGGACAGCAGAGGGGGACTGGAGCGGTGGAGATGTGTTTGGTGACTACAGGGCTGTGGTTTATCACTTTTGGATCTAGGCCAGCACACAAGTGGAAATGGAAGCTTTTATGAACATTAGAAAACAGTCAATTTTTGTTCAAGTGCAGACTCTCCCTGTCACTCATTGACTCACAGGCACACAGATTAACAGACCATGACTCCTCTGTGTCTGACTGACCGGACCCTGAGGGATTTGACCCTCCCCAGCAGGTGGTCACACTGTTAGATTTCCTCCTGGGCAAGGAATTGTAATCAATCACACACTGGTTGTCAGCCAATGGTGCTCAAGAGAAGGACAGAGAAAAAGACAGACAGAAAGTTGGTTTGATATAGATTTCATTTTGTTCAGTTCCACTACATGAGATCGAGATGGTGTTGACTGATTTAAAGCCTGTCCTGAGAAATAGGAAATACAATGCTCTAGAAAAATATATTTTGAAAACCCTTTTTGTGCAACTTCTCAACGGTTTCCTGGACCAACAATTCTGGTAACATTTCTTCACCGGTGCTTATCACTTCTGCTACAGTTACAGAGCAAGAGGATTGAGGTGTTCTTTATTTTTTATTTCACAACAATTTGAGTAAGGCAATCCCAAAGGCAATTTCAAGCTCCTGCCAACAATGCACATAAAATAAACATAAAAAGAAAGTCAAACATTTATTATTATGTATTAAAAGATATAAACATCGAAGAGTGCAGACGTTTTTAGGTATAAAATTGAGTGAAACAAAACATGATATGAAAATAGCATTGTGGTAGACTGATGTAAGCAGCTGAGAACCTTTTTAAATAAAGCCAAAGAAGACGTAGTTCAATATTAAAGGAACTCATACCATTTCCTTATCATTGATCCTTTAATGTTCTGTTTCTAAAAGCTTTATTGATGTGGAAAAGAAAGAATCTAAATAGTCTTTTCTGTTTCATCCACTTAAGCCTCAGCCTCTAGTATCCACTAAGGGACTGTAGAAACATTATTAGGAAGGAGTCGAAAGGGGGAGGGTCCTTTCTTTGTGTTAACTCTTTTCTGAAGGAGGGTAGTCTGAATATATTTGTAAGAGCAGGTCTTTCAACATTTTCTAACCATATTTATATTTCATGTAAGCCTTCCCTTGAGCTGCGCCTGTTCTTGTTCATTTAGTCACTGACACTCAAATCTGATAAAACAACGACACGACAACTATGTTAACTATCCAATGAGCAATGAGGTGCTCACTTTAACATGTGATTTAATGACATAATACAACCTTTTAAAAACACAGAAGTTTGTATGAATAAAGTCGAAACATTTTTAGTGACTCTTTCAAGGATTCGTTTTTCAAACATTGTAGCACACTCCCCCTCCCCAACCCGATAACTTTCACACGGCTCCTTACAGAAAATCTTTGTACAGCCTTAAGAGAAAGTGCTTTCTGGCTCTCTTTGAAGACACATTATTTAGTCTGAGTTGTACCACTTTCCCCAGCCACCAGCCAGTGTCTCCCCTCTCTGCAAGCCCAAACAGTAAATCCCCCGACCGCAGTTTGTGTCACTGAATATCAATGTCTGATTTTGGAAGCCAGAAGAAATGCTGCCAGTGACCATCTCCGTGTCCTGGTTACTCCCTCTTGTCCTCATTGCCCTTACAACTGCAACTCAGATGGTCACCAGATAACACACTCCCTGTGAGATGCTCTTAATCTTTCTGTTTATCCTCCTGAATCATTTTACATCTCCTTTTTTTCGCTCTCTCCCCTTTTGTTCCACTCCACCCCCTCTACTAAATGTATCCCTTTATCAAAACCTGGAGAAAGAAGTAGCCGTTTATGTTTGTGGGCATCGGCACTCCCTGTGGCTGAAGCACAGACTCAATCCATTTACCTCCTCCCCTCCTTGCTTGTCAATGTGTGTGTGGGTTTTCCTTTTCTTTGGTTTGTCGTGCATCGATGCAAGTGTCTATGTGTCTCAGCCTGAGCTTTTATCTTAATGAAAGGCTGCAGAGGGCTGATCTGGTTAGGAGTCAGGCAGCGGCTAGTGTGCTGACTCAGAGTGCAGGAAAAGGGATGTAAAAACAGAGCGAGAGGGGGGAGGACGCAGTGTAAGAAAGTGAGTGATGTGCCGGAAGAGAAGGGTTGAGGTGAGAAAAGTCATGGAAAGAGAAAAGTAGCGACGCTCTGGGTCAGTTTGGGGGTGAGTTATGTGGTTCAGATATTGAATCCTGTGGATGTTCTTGCTTCCTCCTCTGCATGACTTTCTCTGTTCTCCTGGTTAATGCCCTTCCTGCACACCCTTAAGTGCATGAACCTAAATTAAGCACTCCCGTGGGAAATGTTCAAATCATTGTTCCTCCTCTCCCCTCGTCCTCACCTCGTATGTCTTCCACTGTCTACTCTTAAAAAACAAGCACCCCAATCCTTCTCCTTTTTCGCCTTCTCTCACCTCGCCTGACATTCCCCAGGGCTCCAATGCAAATATACATCTCCCACCCGTCTCCGCGGTCAGGGTTTGAGAGACTCTGGCCA